AAAACTTGTCTTACTACTATTAGTAATTAGCTACTATTAAACAATTTACTAAGACATTGACTTTATTATTCTTTCAGTTACTTGTAGCTATAATAAATAAGAAAAATACAATGCCGTTCTACGCTGGAAAAAGGAATAGTTTTTCGACACTCAATAACATTTGCTGAGCGGTGTATTCAGCTTTCAAGAGAACTATAAAGGAATATTATCTTACCTAATCAATTAATAAAATTAATGGTTTACGACAACATATTACAATGATTCTTACCTATTATGTATTGATTTAAAAAAAAATAACAATAAGATTTAGGGACACATTCAACCTAATCCTAGTAGAACCAAGTAAAATTACGTTATTCTAGACTACAAAGATATAAAATTATTTCCTCAATAAAGGATATTTAAAAGTAATTATGTTTTTTTGTATCAAATAAATCTTTGCTTACTCTGTTAGTAATAAATGAAATTTATCGGTACTTTAACACCTTTACATACTATCGATCATAGATAAAATAGGTAAGTGAAGATAATTCGACAACAATGAGTTATGACTACAGAATGTACAGAACCCATTATTAGAAGTTAAAAAGGCCTAAACCTCCTTGGATTTCAACCCACGCTTAGTCTTTTGGCGCGTTTTTAATAATCTATGACGACGAATTTCATACAAAAACTCTGATACTTTTTTATTTTTTTGAACTTTTAATATTTTGTTTAATTTAAAAATAATTGTAATTGTAAACAGAATAATTGTATAATATATACAGAATTACTTTCTTTTGAGTTTAATCCTGTCGATTTTTTTTGTAGTGGAGTAAGTCATGGCGTTATAGTTTATAGTTCTCAAACCCTTCACTGGTGACAATAATTATTTTTAAGGTTATATTTGGCACTAGTCTTTGAAAGGCAGGTCACACGTGTAAAATTTAATGGTACTTTAAATTAAACTATTCAACTCTTGTAGATTCAGTTGTGATTCAATATGATGTTATGTAACCTTATTCTATGTTACAAAAGGTCTATGGTAAGAAAAAACTTTTTTTAATAGAATTGCACTTATGGGAATGTTCGACCAGAGTGCGTGTGTTACCAAGTTCCCGAGTGGGTGAGGATACCGGGACAAAGAAGGCCCCTCCTCCTTCCACCCATTCTGCTGGGAAACTCAAATGCCGGTTACGACTTGCGATTCTTTAGTTGCAGGTGTCAATAGATTACCGTAATCAATTACCATCCGTGAGTAAGTAATTTCTAGTTGTAGCCATAAAAAATAAATAAAAATAGTACATTGACTTTAAGGATCCCTTCAGATTCGTAAGGTCAGCACCTCTGAGGTTGGAGTAGGCTCTATTCTCGCCTCCAAGGAAGGAGGTCTACTGGTGGTCCCAGGAGTTGGCGGACCTCCGTGCGGCCTGTGTACGTGCCCGGAGGTCCCTCACCCGTAGTCGGCGACGTCACCGCGGGGTCGGTGAGGAGGTGGACCGGTTTCATGAGGAGTACCGAGAAGCTCGGAAAACTCTGAGGCTGGCCATCTGCCGCGCCAAAGATGTCAGTAGAGAGGAGATGCTGGAGAGTCTCGAGCGTGACCCCTGGGGTCGCCCTTATCGTGCGGTGCGTCAAAAGCTCCGCACGTCGGGCCCCCCCCTTACGGAGACTCTCCACCCCAGCTTCCTGCAGGAAGTGGTCGAGGGCCTATTCCCGCAGCGGGCGGAGCACACACCCCCGTCGATGGCTGCATCAGCCGGAGACGACGGGGGCAGCGAGGCTGATGTTCCGCCCGTCAGGGAATCGGAGTTGGGGGCGGCTGTTCTACGGATTAGATCCAAGAACACTGCCCCCGGGCCGGACGGGGTTCCAGCCCGAGTGATGGCCCGAGCCCTCGACTACATGTCGGACCACCTCAGGGGGGTGTTGGACGCTAGCCTGGCGTCCGGACGCTTCCCTGAGCGCTGGAAATGCGGGAAGCTGGTCCTGCTGCAGAAGCCGGGACGGCCTGCCGAATCGGTCGCGGCCTATAGGCCTATCGTGTTGCTGGACGAGGCGGGTAAACTTTTTGAGAGGGTGCTTTCTGCCCGCATCGTCCGGCACCTTTGCGAGGTTGGCCCCGATCTGTCGGACGCCCAATTCGGTTTCCGAGCGGGGCGTTCGACGATCGATGCCGTAATGCGCCTTAGGGCCGTGACCGAGGAGGCCGTGAGCTGCGGCGGAGTGGTGTTGGCGGTGTCCTTGGACATCGCCAACGCCTTCAATAGTCTGCCATTCAGCTGCATCAGGGAAGCGCTCCGCTACCACGGAGTGCCGGAGTACCTGAGGCGGCTGGTGGCAGACTACCTTGAGGAGCGAACCGTCATGTACGAGGACCGAGATGGCGTCTTGAGACGCAGGGCCATGTCGTGCGGTGTTCCGCAGGGGTCTGTCCTAGGACCACTCCTGTGGAACATTGGATACGACTGGGCCCTACGAGGGCGTCTCCCCCCCGGGCTGGGTGTACTCTGCTACGCAGATGACACTTTAGTCACGGCCCGGGGGGCTAACTTCCAGGAGGCGGCGCGCCTGGCCGCCACGGGAGTTTCCCAGGTGGTCGGGCGCATTGAGGCGTTGGGATTACGGGTGGCCCTGGATAAGACGGAGGCCCTATTATTTCATGGGCCCCGTCGTGGTCCACCCGCCGGCGCCTCAATCGAGGTCGGCTCGGTCCTCGTACCGGTCCGGGCCCAGATGAGGTACCTGGGTCTGGTCCTAGACGGTAGGTGGCTCTTCGACGAGCACTTCCGACAGCTTGGTCCGAAGCTGGTGGACACTGCCTCCGCCCTAGGGCGACTTTTGCCCAATTTTTTGGCCAGTGTTCCCACGAGGCGGCTGTACGCGGGGGTTGTCCGGTCCATGGCGCTTTATGGTGCACCGGTGTGGGTGGCGGCTCTGACCGCCCCGAATAGGGCGCGCCTCTGGCGCCCCCAGAGGATATTGGCGGTCAGAGCCATACGCGGATACCGCACGGTGTCCACCGAGGCGGCTTGCGCCTTGGCCGGAACACCCCCGTGGGATTTGGAGGCGGAAGTGCTCGCCGAAGTTTATCGGCGAGTGGCTGACTTCCGGGCGGAGAGCGGATTTCGCCCTCCGCCCGAAGACGTGCGCGAGTGGCGCGAAGCCGCTCGCCGAGCCACTATGGTGAGATGGTCGTTCCGGCTGGAGACTCCACGCGCTGGCTTCGCCGCCGTGGAGGCTCTCCAGCCGGTCATAGCCGAGTGGGCAGGGCGGCAGCACGGGGCCCTTTCCTTCCGGCTGACGCAGGTGCTTTCCGGGCACGGTTGCTTCGGAAAGTACCTGCACTCGGTCGCTAGGAGGGAACTGAGTCCCGCCTGCCACCACTGCGACTGCAGTGAGGACTCGGCCCAGCACACGCTGGCGGTCTGCCCCGCATGGGCGACGCAGCGCCGGGCCCTCACTGCAGTCATCGGAGCAGATCTCTCGCTACCGGCCGTAATTCGCTCCATGGCCGGTAGCGACAGTTGTTTTACCGCGGTCGCAACCTTCTGCGAGGAGGTAATCTCGCAGAAGGAGGCGGCGGAGAAGGCCCGGGAGGACGACCTCCACTAGGACCTGATCCGCCGCCGGCGAACCGGGCGGCGGAGGCGCGCTTACCTGCGCCTCATGCCGCCCTGAGTGTGGCCGCGGGTGGACGGGGTGGGTTTCCCCTCCACCCGCATTAGTTGGCCAGCCGCGAGGGGGCGGCGTCCGCGTGTGCCGGACGTCGCCTAAAGAGAGGATAATTGAAGACGGAGCCCGCACCAGGAGCGGGCCGGCGCTGGGAGGGGTCCAGAAGGCGATAACTACCTGGACCCCTCCTAAACTGGAAGCGCAAAGAGGGCACACCGTGTGGTTTTAGTCGGTTCGAGTCCGACACACCACCCCGCCGCAAACCCTGGTGGGGTGACGGTCCGAGGGGATTTCCACACGTTAAAAAAAAAAAAAAAAAAAAAAAAGGCTCTATTCTCGTGTTTCTGGTTTTAAAAAAAAAACTTTAAAAGCGCATATTATCGGCGTGCCAGTGTTATGATGGTGAAAGAAGGTTAATCTCCTTAACGATGGCAGGAAGTCGAATTTATACCTCGGAGCCCTCCCTTTTATGGGGAAGGCTCAGAAGCACTCAAGCGACAGAGAATGTAAAGTGTTAGTTTGCCGTGATTTTCTATACAGAAGTGTGAGCAGAGGTCTGCTCTCCTTTTTAAAAAGTTTCTACTTCTAAAGCTGCTCTTGCTACTATTCTAAGTTATTTCGCACGAGAATCCCATCACTTTATTTAAAGTCAATAAAACAGTTTTAATTAAAACTTGCGCTTAAATCAGATCGTCTCATCTCACAGGTCGACTAATTAATTTAAAAACTTGATTTATATTTTCCTTTGGTCTTAACAATCAAAATCCTGTAATTAAGAGGCTATGAAGATGAATAAATAAAGTTTGTCTGCTAACGGTATATGATCAAGTCACGAAGGATCTAAATCTCCGACTATCGATAATTGTTTCGCTTCCGTGAACATACCAGGCCACTCAGAAACTATTGCAAAAAAAAGTTTTTATGTGTGAAGCCCCGGCTGAATACAATTAGGTGTTTGAAAAAAAAAAGATTATTTACCATGGAGATATAAGCATAGAGTGAACAAGAGCCCCAATCTTACTTATATATCTATGTTTGTTTTTATTTATAATCGATTTTCTCAAATTAAAATGTAATTAAAATATTTACAACACTCACAATATTTACATTTAAGCATCATCGCCTACTGGTAACGTTCTCAGAAGACTGGCAGCATTGCCACGTTGAATTGCAATGCTAATTTTTCTGTGCTTGGAAAATTCCGTCCTTGTGTGTGTTCTCTGTGTTATTTACAAATAAAAATACCATCGTTTGAATTTTTAATTTGCCTCCACATTTTTTGATAGCTAAATGGAAATGGTCGGGAACATTTTCGTGCAATGATTTTTGAGCACCTTCGCGTGAGAATGATAGTTTCGCGTTGGGTGCCGCACAACCTCATCGAAGCTCAGAAGCTGGCCGGGGTGGAATGCTGCCGTGACAGGATCAATAAATTTGAAGTAGGCTCGTCTCGGCGCGTTTACGATATTATGACAGGTGACGACCGCTACCAAAGTGCAGTGGTTGAGAAGCACAGGTAAAGTTTTGTTTCTAAAAATCTATTACAAAATCATCATTAACGCCGAATGGTATACTTTGAAATGCCTGCCAGAAGTTTTCAGTACAATGAGCAACAAGCGACCGAATACCGTGCTCCGTGTTCTATTGCTTCACCACAACACCACAATAAAAGTAATTTATTAGAACAAAGTCAAAAAACAAATCTAATGTCAAACATTTTCAGTCAAATCGCTCATTCAGAAAGTCATTTAAGGAATAGTAACACTTTTGGAAAAGGAGTTCAAAGACTGCGTTTAAATATTTGAAAAGTCAACGATTTAAAAATGAGAGGCAATTTATTGTAATTGCGAATGGACATACAATACACATTATTATATATATATTAATAAGCAAGAATGTAGTCATAAGTGATTCCCCGTACCTATGAAAATTTTAACAATCTAGGGTATCATCAGTGGTCAAACTGCCGTGGTATTTTAATTACAAACAAGTATTGCCTGATAAATAATCCATAAACAGTACATTTTTGTTATTTAAACTTTCAAGAAAACGTCAAGTCATCTCTGTCTTTGATCATTCTGTCACTGATGAGAATGCCATTTTATTTTTTTCTAATAAATAAATTTATTTTCTAATATACACTTAAAGTTTTTGCAGAGTAATAAACGACTATAAGTAGTAAGAAAAGAATTTAACAATGTGCTGGGAGAAGTGCCTACCAGAGATTCCAGCACGCTTATCATTAAAAATCCAGAAGCAATATTCATATTATGATGTTGATTCATCTTCTGGCAGGTCCAGTCCTATCACGGAATGTCCTGGAAGGTATGAAGGAATACATGATTTTTGGCCGGACGATGTATTTGAACTATTCCCGGCGTCCAAGACACAATAATTACCCTGATTTTCTTAAAGGAGGAAAGGTTTGACTTGGCAAATGTAGTCACGAATAAAGTGCGTGTGACAAAATTGTTTTTTCTTATTTTGCAATTACAGTTCCTAACCGTTGCTTGGTATAGAAATTAAAAATTGCCAGCGAAACGAATGCAAAATTATATTAATTGCAGTGACACGTACATGATCGTGTGAATCCTCCATTTGTGGGGAAGGATGTGACGTAACGGTCCTCGAGACAGGCAAGTGTTGAGGCAAACACGCACGTCATTATTTCGTTTGTATACAGGTTTGTGGAAGAGACGATTGTTTTACGCCTATCAGGAAAGGAAAGAAACCTTTCTTTCTGTTGGTAGACATGCCAGTCGCATACACTGGTAATCTTAATCTAAATACTTTGAAAAATTTAGCACCTATATCGCTGAGAAAGTCTTTGAAATCTGTTCCATAAATACTCTTAATAAATCTATATATACATATAAAATTACTTGCCCCTACTGATTGATCCATCAACGTAAAGCCTAAAGCGCTGAGGCTACAAACCTGAAATTTTGCTTTTTATATACTATAAAGTACGTATACGAATGATCCTGAAAACAATTATGATCCGTACAGCTTTTATTAGGTGCAAATTTGGAATTTCCAAAAATTCTTTCTTAGCAGACTTTTTATTCCATAAAATTTGTAGTTTTTCTTAGTACCTAGAACATTTTATGTAGAAATATTTGCGTAGATGACATGTCGGTCTTAATGAAGTTTCACATTTATGTATTTTGAGGTTGTGATCGTAAGCAGAAAATTAGTTACATATTTAATATTATTATCGCACCTAATAAAAGCTATACGGATCATAATTATTTTCAGGATCATTCGTACACGTGTTACTCTATTACAAAATATTATGAGCAAAGATCGCATCCCTTCCTTGCTTTAATGACATTGTGTAGCGGTGTTCATAGTCATTCTAATCAATTCTGTTCTATATGCCATTTTAATCAATGAGAGTTGCATTAGATGATTTTATAAACACATACCTACATATAAATTACCCAAATGATCGTGTTGACAAATGGTGAGAATCAAAACCCACGATTTCTTGCAGTAGCAGCAACTACTACACCAACAGGCCAAACAATAATGAGGGTTTTCGATACTTTTTCTGCCACCAGACGGCGCTTCGTATGCGTCAGGTCCAAACAGCTGTCAGATAGCACAGATTCCTACCGAACGTATAATTTTTTAGTGTAATTCTATGTATTTGGAAGTGTTATTGAGTTTATTATGGATTACGACCAGAGAAAGGTTGCCGAACTGAAGATTAAGCTCAAAAAGAGAGGCGCAAAAGTTTTATTTGCACACAGAGGCACTGCACAACACTGTGGCATTTTAGAAAACAATATTACTTTTGTAACGTTTTTAAGAATGAATAAACCAAAAAAATGATCGAAAAATACAAATCATGTATGTGTCTTGACAGGTGGTTGGACCTGACGCTACAGTGCTGCCATATCACGTGGAACATTTCAAAAAACCCTCATTTCCTAAAAACAGTCATTGAAAGTGACAGTGTTACTAATTCCCAACATGTGACGTGACAGCATTGCCTAATACCACCGTTCCACGAATTAGTCATATTGTAACCTCTTCACACATAATATTTGTCCTCGATGCGAATTACCAGTCATTTTACGACATTATAATAAAAAATATCTTGAAACAATATTGCGATATTACATTAGTGTGCGTATATACACAAGCAAAGGCCATTCCAATTAAAGTAATCGACATTTGCATAGAAAATCCGCGTATCAATACGAATTTGCGCTCGAGTATGCTTTGTAGTGCAAGTGGGGAGCGATCTGATACGAATATGTTTATAAACTAAGCGTTCGTTCACAGCTTTACATTCGTTGATACTGTTTATAATCACTGCTCTGCTTCTAAAGGTTTTAGTGTGATGTTGAACGGCATATAACCTTCCTTATGAATTGGGCTATGACGCGACGACGTCACTATAGTTCAATAGTATTCAAACCAAGAACAAGTTCGTTAATAAAAATCTTTTTGAACAAACTCCCGGCAACTGTGTTATTAGAGAGTAAAACAATTAGGGGCAGATATACTAATGTTTGTTCACTGCAGATTGCAACTATTTTTTTCAAGTTAGAATCTGACTATAAAAGTACAGAGATTTATATTGTATTTTTTTAACTGTAAATTTTATTCTATTTTTCATATTACACAACTGGTAACTATTATGTGTCAAATAGAAACTTAAATTAAATACTATTTGGTAAGTGTACCTATTGTATTTTTTTATGGTGTGGAGATACAGATAGAAAAGCTGCTTGTCGCGAATAATAAAAACAAACTTTTTAACACGATTGGCCATCGTTGATGAGCCAAATCTTTCGAGGTACTGAATGGTAAGATCTCAAAGTTGAGGTATTCACTAGTCATCAATAAAAAGTTCCCCCATCCACCTCCTGGATTTATCCACATAATAATCAAAACATAAGTAATTATATTATTGTTATATAGTGAAGTATCAATCTATGTAACTACTTTGCATACAAACCTTCAATTCGATCCGACAATTACAAGTAGGTTCTAATTAACTTCAGAGATTTGTACATAGTTAGTTCATTAGTTAGTAACAAGTAAAGCTAATAAAATAGTGTTAATTAATGGTTAATTGAAGCGAAATTTTGATTCGCCGTGGGAGAGTCAAGTAAGTAAGTTAGTGGGAGAGCCATGCTTCGGCACAAATTTCCAGGCTCAACCGCATTGATACCGCGGCCTCACAGAAAACAGCTGCTAAGAAATCCTTTCTTTGAATTTTGCCGACTGAGTGAGCTTAGCGGAGTCCAAACGAAGACTCGAAGGGTGGCAATGCACTTCTGACTCTCGAGTTGCAGGTAATCACTTATTAGGTCATCCGCCTGCTCGTTTGCCCTCCCATTCTATAAAAAAGATAATAAAATAGTATTAATCAATCGTTAATTGTAGCGTATTTAACTTTTGATTCGTTGCCTCTTACGCCTTGAACCATTAACATGTACTTCGTCTGATGATCGTGCGCTCGCGGCGACACGACGGTTTTCCACTAAAATTAAACAAATCCACAAAGTCGTTGGTTTGTCAACTCGTGACTGTTTCCAAGGCCGTGGCGATCATCAGCGATATAGGGCTGACTGTCAAGAGGAACACCGTTCACTCATCTTATCTTTGTCTATTTGTCTTTGCAGGTTGCCAGGTTTCATGTATTAAGAAGTAAGTAATGTGAATCTAGTTTTGGATGCTGATACTTGGTACTTTGGTAAATGTAGATGAGATGATTTATAGCTCTTGGAAGTAAAGTAGGTAATCATTACTTTGATTTCTATGAGTATTTAGAGATTTTTCTAATGATTTTCATTTATAGGAATTTAAAAAAAATCAATTGAAATCGATTATAAAAGTATTTCAGATCATGACTGAAAAAAGCTGAAAAAACTTTTAAAAGTTTAAAGTAAGTTTCGATAGACTTTCTTTAAAAAAAATTGTTACTGTTTCAATGTTATAGGCTATAAAATAAATGTCGGTAAATTATTGTGTACATTTAAAATAAACCTTAGTTTAGGCCACACCATTCCCTTGACATTTGTATTTCATGTCTGTAAACAATCAAATTTGATGGATATGGCCAATGGCTTTGGCTTTCAATAAGTTAGTTTTTGTTGATTGATTACTGCATGATTGAGAGGAAATGATCTTTGACTTTTCTTTCTGTAGAACAAAAGTGTTTATTAAATACCATTGACAAAGGTGTGACACAAAGAGGTGGCTAAAAGCTGCTGTAGTTAGCATCATACTCAATAGCACAGAGATGATAGCGATTTGCACAGATTAAAAATATGGTAAACGTCGTTGGAAAAATTAAATATTTTCCTTTTTAAGTCTTTCAAAATAATTAAAGATTTTAGCTTAATAGATACAAATTTGATTATAACTTAGTTTTTACTATAAAATTCAAACAGTTATAAGTACAGCAAGTCTACAGAGGTTAGTGTGGGCTCTGATGTTTTACATCGCTTTGATATTTTATGTGCGAGGGACTTGCTGGTCCAGTCTGAAAACAAATCCCTGCTGCTCTACCAATACATGATATCACCCTTCCTTCCCGCGCGCTCTCATCTGAAGATTTAAGTCATACGATATTCAGTTCGGCACTATTTATTAAACGACAAAGTCCATAGCCGTGTGCTTTATTCCTTTGGAACTGTGACAGAATATAATACAAAAGTCCATGACTGGGTCAAAACGATTCATTAATAAAATTCTGCCAATAATATAATAATTACTAATATCAATTATTGGTAAAACTAAAAAAAAAATTCTCACACAAAGTCAATTATTTAATTAAAATGCAAATTTAAATGTATGTATGCATGTTAGCAAGTTATTTAGTGAAAGTACCTTATCAATACTATGATAGCATTCCATTAATTTAATTGTACGTTTAAAGGCTTTTACCGTGTTAGATCATTATATTTTTTCTTCTTGTTTCCGTACGGTTATCGATGTTGTTCTTTTTGTTAGGGTAACTTACAACTAGACTAACATTGCTACAATACTATCTATTAATTTCAATTGAAAAGCCAATATGAATATTAATGTACTTACGTGTATACATAAGTGCATAAAATATATACGTCACAAATTAGCTCTACGCTGTACGATGCCACATGAATTTCAGCAAATGCATTGTCTGATTCTTTAGATACGAAATAAAACTTCTTATTTCTTTTTACCTTTCTAAATATTAACAATTACGTAAGTTGTGCCAGCCCTATACGCTGATGACAATTGTTGGTAATCATCGTGTGACGTCACTCGGCGTGCAGTCTTGCAGCCTTCATGCCTGTCAACTGATTGCGCGACATTCGATTTCAATGAGGTACTACATACACTAGATTACATAAGTGTACTCGAATACATTCATTTTTTTTAAACTAACGA